AAATTTAAGACAAGAGAAAAAGTCTCACTTTGACAACCAACCCATATCAGTACTTTGATTAGTAATTTGACATTTACAAAGTACACCTCAATGAACTGATCATAGATATGGAAACATAAATTTCTCACTATTAGCAACTTAATTGTAGGGTAAGTAAAATAAGATATCTGAATAAAATTATGATGGTAACACCTTATCTTTCAGGTTAGCTCATTTTTAATAGCACATTATTTACAAGTAAGTACCAATGTGAAATCAGTTAGTCAACATTTCACAACATACCTTGTGTGTATCTGAACTATTAGAAACATGAAGAGATAGCACAAATATTACTAGAGCAGAACGAGTGTTCATGGGAGAAAAGAGAGTAAAATCCAGATATGTAATTTTATCTGAGTGTAACATATCAGTGATTTTCTCAAAGATGTGAAACAATTCAAATAAAAGATGAAGCTTGAATTCAAGATCCAAACATCCACGTATAGATTCGTTCTTTTACTAAACCATTCTTCATTATATACTTTGAAAAAAGTCAATAGAAAGCCACAATTTCTTTTGAACAGCTGTTTCTCAAAGAATGTTTCATATTAGATTTGCAATGATCTAAACTCATTTGACAGAATACATGTACTACTAAATCCTCTATCAGAAGAAATATTATCATGTATTATACAGAATGAGACAGCTCATCCCAGCCTCAAAGTCAAGGTTAAGAAAAATGAAAATGACATGTGATAGGGCCAGGAAAAAATCACCTACATAGTCCAGAGCCACCTGGGACAGTCCCTGATTATAGACAGGGAACAATGGAGGGAGCATGGTTAGTATCTGCACAATTAGTGTTTACTGCTATTACTCAGACAAGAAATATGTATTTCAATTACTCACTCTTTGTCACCAACACTGTGACTATCATCAACAGAAGTAAACAGAGGATCCCAAGACTCACTGCAATGAGACGCCAGGACACTGAAAACTCTTTAAATAAAAAAGGGGAGAAAATAATCATCAAGGGAAGATGATGGCTCACTACTAACCTTGACCTAGAACACCATGTGAAACAAAGGGACAATCATCTCTAAAAATTTTACAGAAATATAGCATGCAAATTGATTTAAATGTGTAAACTAGAGTGTCAGGTGTGGTGGCTCAGGCCCGTAATCCTATCATTCTGGGAGGCAGAGACGGGAGGAGCTTGAGGCCAGGAGTTCAAGACCAGCCTGAGCAAGAGCACAACCCCTCACCCTCCTCCCACCCCCAGCCCTGTCTCTACAAAAAATAGAAAAATTAGCCGGGCATGGTGCCGTGCGCCTGTAGTCCCAGCTACTTAGGAGGCCGAGGCAGGAGGATTGCTTGAGCCCAGGAATTTAAGGTGCCGTCAGCTATGATAACGCCACTGCACTCTAGCCTGAGCGACAGTGCAAGAAGCTGTCTCAAAAATAAATAAATATAAAATTTGTAACCTATAACTTAGTTTTGAAGTTTCAGATTTCTGGCTGACACACGCACCCATTGTAGATATCCTAATACGGGAACAGTTCTATAGGATTTCAAAAGTACATCCTTTACAAAAGCACTGACG